TCTATTAAAGTTGTTACCCTATTCACCTGTAGTATCTGAGCTACAGGTCCTTTCCACCAACTGTCCGAGCAGAGAATTCTTGCTTCCACTTCATGCACTCCAGCCAGCGTTTGCTCTTCTCCCCCCAGCTGAAGCCCACATCATGTGTGGATGTAGCCGTTCTATCCCTGTCTCCTTTGTCTCTGCCTTTGGTTTCATCCGTCTCTCCTTGTGTCTCTCCCTCTTAACCTCCCTGTTTGTCTCTCCTCGAGTGTCATCCTGTCCCGTTAGCATCAATCCCCCTCCGCTTGCTTTTGTCCAGCTCTCTGACCCCCCCCTCCGCCCCAGTGTGATCCTGAACTACAGGGCAAGAGCAGGTGTTCAGCTGGTCGGCTATTGCTGCATGCTGACTCGCATAATCGCCGAGAGGTGAGCAAGTGAGCATGCTGGGGTTGAGGAATACAGCTGGCCGCTAATGCTGATGGACCCCCCCCCCGTCTGATGTTTGCCAAGGGCCGACCAGGTGCCTCTGCAGCATATGTGCAGATACACACGCGTGTCAGATCTAATAAAGGATTCCCAGCTGCTGTAATTGCAGTACTCGATAGTGAGCTGATGGATTCTGCTGTAGGTGTCATGTTCTCTGCGGCAGGGCATTTTTGACTCGGAGAAGATAAAAAAAAACAAAAAAAAGGTAAAGGTAGGACACCAGCGTCCCCAAGGAGGTGGAACCGACGTCACCTCGGTCTCTTTTGGTCACCCAGCGGCTGGATGGGAAGTTCGAGTGACGGGAAAGACTGAGCTGCATTCTAACAAGAGGCCCGTTTTTTGTCCAGCTCAACATGCTGTCAATCCCTTTGCTCCTTTTGCCCCTCCCCTTCCCGCCACCCTTCTCCCTCTTTGTGCAAACAGAGTACAACAACTCGCTCTTTGCTCGCTAAGCCCGGTGAAGATGACGGAAGAAAAGAAAAAAAATCCAATAAAACATGAGCCCGCTCCCCCTTGACTCTCCGAGATGCTGTTTAAACGCGACAAGTGGTCGATTTTTCCATTCCACCTGGACAACCCCCCCCCCCACACACACACACACTCTCCCTCTACCAATATGGATTTGAGATGTTAGTGCATTTTTTTTATCTCACATCCGTGCTTCCCACAACTTGGGAGAGAGATCGGGAGAAGGGTAAATACGCAAAGGGTGTGTGAATAATGCAAGGCGAACATTAAATGTCAGGTCTAAGAATTCACAATACCCCCCCATTGTCTCGCTGGCATTCACCGCATGTTTTATGCATTTTATAATTAGCGGGGGAGACTCAGGGGACAGGGATGCTTGGCAGTTATGGGGGATCACTTATTTCTGAGAGGGGTGGTGTTTTTTAAAGGAATTGGAGAGCTCCATTTGAAAGGCAAATCTCACAGCTCCGCGGAGTGGAAAAACCAGGGCAGGAATTCTCCTCAGAATCAATACCACTTCCAACGTGTTTAAACTGCCTCACATATACAAATATACTGCTCCTGACCATGAAGGAAGGAATCTTACTGTCTGTGAGTATGCGTATGTCCTTTGACTATCTTGAGAATCATCCATCTGATTGACTTAGTGGCTGTATTGCTCTGGACCCAGATGGTCATTTTGCCAGATGGTGGCGCTATAGCAATGAACTTTAAGCTTTGGCCTGTAACTTTTGAATTGTATGTCTCGGAAACAACATTTTTATCCTGTTTTTTTGTGGGTCCAAACCAGACGGCTACCTGGCGTTCTGCCGAGTGAAGCCAATGCGAAAGTGTCTTAAAACCTAAATCTTATATTCTCTCTACTGGCCATCAGGGGGCGACTCCTCTGGTTGAAGTCTATGAGAAAATGACTCTACTTCTCTCTTGATTTATTACCTCAGTAAACATTGTAAACATGAGTTTATGGTCTCAATCTCTAGTTTCAAGTCTTCTTCAATACAACATGATTGAAGCATACTTTCCAAATTGTCTAAATGCAGTGCTTGTGAATTTGTTCATTTTTACAAATCCAAATGTAAGTTTATATGTTACTTATATGTAGTTTTACCTGTAAACACTCTTCAGTATCATAGGACACATTTTTAGGGATTTTATAATATTCAAAAAAAGAAAATAGACAACATTCAACATTTTCTTTTTTTTATAGTAACCAGGCACTTATAGGCGTGGAATGGGTGGCTGTTTTATTTCATATTATATGATTTTAGCCCCTCCTCGAAGGGCAAAACAGACAGAGAAACTAGATATCCAGCACGCAGCACATTTTGAATTTGCACCAGCTTTACCTTTGGGCCTGTACAGTACACGGAAACTGCATCAGCATACCGTCCCATTCATCAAGTTCTCATCCGGCTTTTAGCTGCATAAATACATTCGTTTGACAGATGACTTCGCTAATTGCCTTTTGAAACTGCAGTAATCTCTCGGTGCAGTGAGCGCAAATTAAAAATGCAGTGCCCTGAGTATTGTTTTTTTCATGTCTGAGCCTGCATTTATCCACCTGAAATTAATTCTCTAATTCGTTTGTACGATAAACAGGGAATACTCGGGATCCCAATCCACTTAAAGCATCCTGTGCGCTGCTTTACATATCTGTTCTGATATGCTGACTTGTCCCTGAAGACTCCACCCAGCAATCCTGCAAAATGAGGGGCAAGCCTCAACTTTTCTAAAGGGCACTGTAAAGTCTTCAGAAGTGTCACCTCAGGGAAAGTGTGAATAGAGTGTGTGTGTATGTCTGCATCGACTAAATACAAGCAGCTGGAAGTTTGGGTGTTGGACGCGGAGGATTCACACTTGAGCCGCGGTGTGATTTGTGCCGATGTGTTTGGTGTGGAATGGAGACGGGTGATGACATCCCTGTCCAAACACACAAAGCATCAAGAAACTGAAAGCAGTCAGTCTTGTCACTTTAGTGCACGTCTTACACTGGTGGGCGAATTCACCAACAAAGGATTGTGCAGATTTTGCGTCCGTTAAATCTGCGACTGTGGCTCAGTGGTAGAGCAGGGTCGTCCTTCAATCAGAGTATCGGCGGTCGATCCCCGGCTCCGCTAGTCCATGTCAATGTGTCCTTGGGCAATTAACTTAACCCCAAATTGCTCCCGTAGCTGTGCCAACGGTGTGTGAATGCTGTATGAATGTTAGATAGTCCTGATGGGCAGGTGGCACCTTGCATGGTAGGCCCTGTCATCAGTGTGTGAATGGGTGTGAATGGTTGAATGATGACATGTAGTGTTAAAGCGCTTTGAGTGGTCGGAAGACTAGAAAAGAGATATATAAGTACAGTCCATTTACCTTTACCAAAAATAAGACAAGGTTGAAATGCACCCCCAATTGCCCCGCCAAGCAAATAGCGCCTCGGTGCTCCTGTGATATTTACACATATTTAAAGGAGGTAATATGCAGACATTTGGTGCAAAACAGATGAGTGAGACTCATTGCAAATTGCAACAGACCAATACACAAAGATCAGAGCGAATAGCCACACATAGTTGCAGTGAAATTATTAGCGTCTTCAGAGTGTTGCTGGTACCTGAAGCACATTTTTAACGGGTGTCATGCCTTTCCAGTGATCATGGCAGCTTTGAATGAAGTCTTTCCTTTTGTCCTCCGCTTCAAATCATGACATCTTATTTTACAGTCTGAAGGTAATCCCAAATACATTTTCTCTTGGTCATGTTTAAATTCCTTGCCTGAAATTAAGAGGAAAGTCTCTGCACCTTGTCAGTCAAGACCTGCAGCTCACAGTCTGAACATTTATTTTTTTCTCTCTCAATTGTTCTGCCTACTGTGTTCTCAGCTAGAAGTGAACATTTATATTGTGCCACATTGATAATTGCAATCAGATGTAAAAAAAGGGCAATTTGAACTCAGCTGCAAAACTTCATGCGCTGTAATATCATTCGCGCAATATCTTTTGTGAATGGAACCTTGAGACGGAGCAGATAGCGGTCGCAAGTGATGAGCAACGTACGGTGCTATGAGCTGCCCCAATCCATTCTGCGCAAATTCGAACTTCAGTGGGTTACTATTTCTCTTCCTACTCCAATCGTTCGGATGCTTTTAATGACAAATACAATATAAAATAATATTAGAGTATATTGGACTAGATTCGCTGGAGATGGGCGGATAGTCCTGTTACACTTACTCATTTCTTATGAGAATGTCCCAAAGTAGAGACTTTATGGTGTGTTATTCTTGAAAATAAAAGGCTGATCATAATCCAAGATATTCCTTGCACACCTAGTTTATGTACTTGGAGTCCATTGCCGCTAAACAACCTCCCTAAACCTAAGCGGACTGGATCCACACGGCACTTATGTCGGGTATGAAGATCATTGTTAAAGAGAGGACATCTGCTGATTTTCCTCTTGCACATATATGGTTCTCCCAGTTTAGAATGGTAGCAACCCATTTGAGATTGTATTTTAGGATTAACTAGCAGGTAGTCTGAAGTGGAACAGAAACCTGTCACATTAAAAGCACTCACAATCAACGTCTCCTTTAATATGCAAGAATGTGTTATAATGACTCGTACACCGGACCACATCTAATAGATAAATGTAGTGCAAATAAAAGTGAGTGAAAGCTACTCTGGATTTATCCAGATATGAAACACTAAATGGTAAGCGCAACAGGGGCCTAAGATTACACTTTAACGAGAGGCAGTGCCCTCATCAGTAAAATCATATTTCTTTGGAGGAATGAAAGCAACGCCCGTCTGACTTGTGCATTTAGTTAATGCTCAAACGTTGATAACAATAATTATGTTTGCTCTGACATGCAGATAGAATACCCTTCATATGCACATTTAGAGCAGACATAAAGACGCTATGATTGATGTTATTTTTTATGAGCACCACTTTGGTGAACATTGTGCTGCCTTCATTAATCTGGATTGTAATCACAATATGTGGACAGAAGTTTCCATCAATGTCTGAGACTCAATTTAAATGTTTCATCATGTAAGTAAAGCCAAATGTGTTTGTCTTGTTGTTCAGGCCAGTGGGAGGTGACTGTCAGAAGAAATGCCGGTCCTAGGTGCCCTAGTACATCACCACCTGGACCATGGCGACTCCTTGGCCAATGAGAAAAGAGAGGTGCTCCCATGGCTCTGCCTGCCTTGCTAGATGGCCAGCGTCCTCCTTGATGCTTCTATGGTTGCCATGGGTGTTGCTATGGCTGCCGTGGACCGCCCGAGCTGAACAAGTGGGCGGCGGGGTGAGCGGTGGGAAGGTGCTCCACGGTTCCCTGTCATCCTCCTCGTCCTCCTCATCTTCTTCCTCGTCCTCCTCGTCCAGCACTTCAGCATGGGGCTTCAACACGAGGCAGAGCGGGGGGCAGCTGGACTGGCTGCTGTCGGAGAAGGGACCTTTCCACAGATGTCCGGAGTACACAGAGTTCAGAGAGAGGTTCCAGCAGGGATTTTCTACCAGATACAAGATTTACAGGTCAGTGTGTGTGTGTGTGTGTGCGTGTGTGTGCGTGCATGAAAAGACCTAAAAAGTAAATGTTTTATTCAATTTTATTTCTTCGAAATGACCAGAAACAGCAGGTCCACACTTGGTTGACGTAGCCTGGTGGTCCACTGTTGGTAATATAGGAATGTATGTGTGTTTTCAGAGAGAAGAAGAAAGAAAGAGACTTTGTGTAGCAGGATTTAAAATCTCAGCCAGTGTGAGGAAAAGGGTGTGTTCTTACTTATGTCTCTGGCTACCTGCCCATACTCGTAAGTGCTTCTGAAAAACTACACTGAATCCTAGATTTAAGAAAGTGAAATTTGTTAGATCTTCCATGCCCAAAAAATGCCCACGTCTTTCAAACTCCATGCCTCCATTTTTTTTGGTTAAAAAAAATGTTAAAGCTCAAACAGATAATGCCGATGTGATTATAGAAGTTTTTTTTTCCTCCAACTTGACACACACAGAAAACATTGTACAGCCTTTCTTAACAGGCTGAGTAGTACTCCTAGTGACTGACCTTCATGTGTAAAATTGAGTATCTACTTGCAACCTTTTGTCGCATATTGAACATGAATGCGCTGTGAGAGCTGGATTTTCTCTTCACTTGTTCAGTTTCAATGGTTCTTACAGGCCTGGAGAGTTTTAATTGTAGTAGCAGTATTCAACAAGTAAAAAAGAAAAAGAAGGGTAGATTAGAGAGAAGAAGAGTGAAAATGGCCACTTTTGCGGTGGTGTACTTCCCACATAGATATAGTCAAAGATTCGTAACAGTGTCCATCTCGTCAGCTGCAGTCCAGAGTTAATGCTGGTCTCTGTCACCATTATTATTAATCCAAATGTAATATCCAATGTGATAGATATACGCTACGTCCCCTGTGACTGCAATTTGGAATTTTCATTTCCTCTGCTTGGATTATATGTATTTAGAGTTTTAACTTCCCCTCCCCTCCCCTACATGAGGTCTTCAAAATAGATTATCTTAAAAGTCACGGACGTATTCACTGTCAGATATGTAGAAAATGATATGCTCTTCCTACCTGGAAAAGCAGTATCCGCAGCTTGGTCCGTGGCCCTTGGCGTCTGATACCGAGGTAACCCTTTACTGTCTGTATGCGACGCACTGGGCTTTCAACTAACTCCAATGTAAACCCATCCGCGTCATTATGAGATGGCCAGAGCAACGGGCCTAGTTGAATTAGCGAGAAAGTCAAAGTAGATCTGATGGGAGGTTAGAATGGATGGCCAAGCAGACAGGGACTTTCAACCATGAGTCCGCTATTCATTTCGTAGCTTAACGAACAGACTTTACAAACACTGCTAATCTAAAAGGCATAGTTATTTTACACAACAAACATACTCATTTTAACCCAAAACCACAATCTTTTCTTAAACCATGTAGTTTTGTTGCTTAAGTAAGTCTTAAAACTAAGTAAACTTATGTTTGAAGTTCATTGTGAAAAAGGGATTGTATGCATGTAAGGAATGCAGATCTCCGCCAGGTGTGTCTGCAACGAACACACGAACATAAACCCCTCGTCTAGACTGCATCTGTATCATCTGTTTTTTCACTTGCACGTCTCACATAGCAGATATTTTAATCTTTGCAGATGTCTGCATCGGCTCCACTGAGGTTCACATCTCAGCTCCGTTTTATGGGTGTAATCGCCACTTGAAGCGTTTATTACGGCTTCAAGTACATCCACAATACGCATGTATACACGACGTTGATGCCCAATGAAAAGGCAGCAAATAACTGTCCTGGCAGCAGAGCCACGTTTAGGCAGTGGCGATGCCGTCAGCTGGGTAGTTCCATTAGCTGTCAGCTGTTAGCCAAAGCCCTGGACAGAGACAGAGATGCACACACACACACACACACACACACACACACACACACACACACGTCCTATCTCACTCTCTCCTGGCAGAGATAAAAGTTAACACTCTAAGCATACATAGGGGCACAGATCATTTTAATATTCATATTTGATGTTGAGCAGTATTATTGAAGCAAACATCACTGAGTAAAAAATATGGCCACATCATAACAAGATGATTAACATGCACAGAAACAAATGGCGGAGGTCAATATAATGATATGTATCTATTCAGCTGTGCCTTTGTAAATACATAGAGATCTGGCTTTTTATGTGTTTTTCATTTTTTTCAATAATGCAGCACTACAATTTGAATTCCATCCAGCTCCGTTTGTGTATGAGAGCGTTTAATGAAAAGATGTATCACTTTCTTTCCAAACATGCAATATTGTGAAATACAGCTCGTCTGGATTAAAATTAGCTGGATGGCTTGAAATTCAATTAAAGCTGCTGTAACATATTTCAGCTGCTTGAATTGGAATTGGAGTGGAGGAAGGACTTGTGGGAGAGCAATATCCCATCTACTTTTATTCTAATATGGTCCTTTGTTTCCAGTGCTTAAGGAGAATGGAAGGCAAGACGTGAAACTTTGGTTTGGAGATTCCATTAGCTAATTAATTGGATTGCTTGTGGTGGATTTAGTCTTAATTTGGTGTGAAAGTGTGTTTTACTTTACTTCTTTTTTTTCATTAAGCAGAGTAAGGCAAACTATTATGATGACATATTCTATAGTCTCTTTTTTCTGTTACTGTTTCACAATCAGCTTACATCTACCTTTTAATTTGAATTGCAGAATTATTTCATATTTATTTCCCTTACTTTGATTATGATTAGTATTTTAATAAATATTTTTTAACATACTGACTATTATTATTATTATCATAGATAAAATTATATTGTTCATATTAATAATAGTTTTTATTTGTTCTCCCCCTCACTAAAAATACTGGTATTGTTTTATTTATATTGTTTTGTATCATGTGGTAATATATGAACAAATAAAACAAGTCAATAAATAAAAAGTAATTTTACGGGAAAGAGATGATTTTAGAGTGAGCTCATACTGCGATTCACAATATCCTTCCTAATTGAACAAGATTAAATGCATTGAGAGTAGAGAGCCTTTAAGTAAAGAGCGACCAAACAGGGATCAGAGGAAATGCTGAATGTATTTTGTCTGGGAGATTAAAGTCAGAGCTTAAATACTTTAAATCTGTGAATAGATAAAAGAGGAGCACTTGTTCATTTGGAGCAGCGGGCGCATAGTAGAGCTGTGAAACTAGTCTAGGTTGTGATATTCTTTACTCCAGGCTCTCAGACTTTTTGCTGAGTCTGACTGTTCTGAGCTCAGCGGGATCAGTGTGTGTGCGTGTGTCTGTGTGTGTGTGTGTGTGGGGAGGGGGGGGGGGGGGGGGGCTGAACCAGTTGAAAGAGCATTTTATGAGCAAGAATTACAACTTGTGATGTAAAATATGCCTTAAATAATCATGACTGTCCATACATTCAGCTTTCATTAATCTCAGGTGACTTCATTCAAAGATGTCTGACTGCTCAGAACTCCAAAATCCTTTTATTTTTTTTCCAATTACACTAAAAACGATCTGTCTCTACTGTGAAACTCACATTTGTTGAAAACTGATCAAGTGGACTTTGTGTTGGAAACCATTTCACCTGTCGTTTATATTTTTAATTTAAACAGGATGTAATTCCAAAAGTTCTAATAAAGAAGAAGATGAATATATATATATATGGATGATTTGTGATAATACACTAATAAGGAGGATTTATGGTATTTCCTCCTTGTAAGTCTCTGTGTGTTATCGTGGCAAAATGAGCTCCGGGAGACACCTTCTGAAACGGGAACTACCCGGGAAACGGTTTTGATTTCGTCACCACGACAGCATCCCAGCCCTGCAGGTTGCAGTCACCAAACTTGATGAACCACAGGTGTGAAGTTGAGATCAAGATGAAGATGGAGTTCGGCCATGGGTGTGGTCCGAGGAAGAAGACGGGCAGGAAGTGAAGAAGGGGCCAGTGTATCAATGTGCTGGCCTTGATATAGAACAGGACTGTATCAATACAGTCCATCCACACTGAGCTGGCTGTTTTTTAGTTTTGTTTTTAAATAGCACACAAACATTTTCAGGCTGTTATCATAATGATCTCCAGACGCTCACACCGACGTGTCTGAACAAAAGGAAGGCAGCTAAATGTGGGTTTTGTCTTGTTTTGGTCGACAAACAACAAAAGCTGTGCATCACAGCAAACATCTGGTCAGTATTAATAGGTGTTAGATAGTATTTCAATGCATTTCAATATATTTGTATTTACTCACTAGTATTAATATTAATTTATTAATTTATTTCATTCGTTTTTCCCCTCACAAAAACACTGGTATTGGATTTATATATATGATGCTTATTTCATGGCATGTTCTTTGTCTTGTTTTATTTATAATTATGTGAAGAAATGAGTTTGGATCACGGAGAAAAAAGTACATGTATGGATAAAAAGAGTTGATTAATAAAACATATTTTAAGACTAGATTTATAGACAACATGGTCAAAAAAACACAACATCTTGAGACGGATATTGCGGTTGGTTGGTTTAACATCCACTCTGTCCGCTCCACATCACCTCTACAGCTCAACTTACCATTTACATGTTTCTGATAACGGAGTAACAGTCAGTTTGAAATTAGGTTTTTGTGACAAACAGCCCTTGAACAGGATAAAACATCCGCTCTGCAGAGCGCTTTTTAAAAGCTCAATTTTCAGCTCAGTGCGGACAGAAGACCAAAAACAAAGTACACAATGTATTTTCAAATGTATCCGTGTGAGTCTAGAATCACTATGTGAAAAATAGAAGAAAGCAAAACCAGGAATAGTCTGAAAATAATCAGAATTTATTCATTTACTGACATCTTTTCCGATCTTGTTGCAGAGGAAATGAAAACAGCTGATATAACCTTTAAGTTATTAATAATAATAATGATAATAATATTGCAAATCTTGGGTTGGAACCTACTGCAGGGCCTCCATTTCTCTGGGCCAAACACTTTCCCTGCTGGAAAGACAACGGTGTGTGAAGTGTATAAATAATGCAGCCAGGTCC